AGAAGATTAAACGAAATGTTAACATCTCGCGACATTTGTCTTCTTTCTGTCTTGATGAAATGGATAAAGGGAACTCAATGCTTCAAATTTTCACTATCTTTCTTAAGGTTATTTCTGAGTTGACGTTGCAGACGACACCGATTCTTATGCTGATCCTGACAGATTGGGATCGCTTTTTATCCATCAGGATTACTAACTCCTGAAAGATCCAATGCCTTTGGTGAGCTTCGGGCTCAGTCCCACAAGCATATTTTGCTGCTGAGTGCATCGCAAATCTAATCTGATTCCACTGTTGGTCTACTCCACGTTGTCGCGGTTCTCCTAGCTCCTGCCCCAGCTTCTCCTCATAACGTGCGCAGACAGCTGGATCGCGCAGACGATGGTGAGCTAACTGAGGAGGCGATTTCTGCCGATGACCAATGAGTCGAAGAGCGAAGCGCAAGAGTACTAGTGCATGATCCGACACAACGCAGGTGTACCAATAGGACCTGCAATTTTGCACTGAGCCACGCCAATGGTAGCTTACAACTGTGTGGTCAATTTGGGTCAATGTGCCCGTTGAACTAGAACACCGTTCAACGAGAGCTGTGTCGAAAGTTGGTACTAGATAATAACAGCCGGTGATCCGCGCAGAACTGAAGTAGTCGATCACCGTTGTCTGATCGCTCGGTGGGGAGGGAGAAGCGCCCTCCTAGACAGGCTTCGGGTGCGCTCAGTTTTCAAACCTGCGCATTAAAATCACCTGCCAGCGCTATAATATCAGAGTTGCGGCTCAATCGAATCAGTTCGGCGAGTCTGTTGTACAATTCATCCTTTTGTGAAGCGGGACTGCAGCTGGTTGGTGCATACGCGGAAATGATGAAAAAACACCTTTTTGTGTTGATACCCTTCCGAACACTCACTGAACCCAGTAGCCTCATTGCGCACAGACGTCTGTTGATGGGTATCCAACCTGTCATAGAGGCTTAAGCTTTATCGTTTAGTACGTTACCTACAACACGCTGACCCAGTTAGCGGGCTGCGTCGTCTCCTGATGTGCGGAGGAAATACCTCGAGGACAGACCCGGCGCACTCAGGTGGCTTATAACACTAGGATCCTAAGTTCATGTTACCGATACGCAAAAGACATCGATTTCTAGAGACTCCATTGTACGCGCAAGGTACGCCTATTGACCCAACTGCATAAGAGTTCTCACGTTGAAGGCCCCCAGATTCAGTGGCTAACGAGACTTCAGAATATGCGATCTATTTTGTGGTAAACCACTTATCGACCTACTTGACAGCGAACTTTGTCGAGTGACGAACAAGTTGTCCGAGGAAATGTTACGGGTCGGAAGAAGGGGTAAGGCAACAGGGTTGGGTACGGAAGACAAAGACTTAAACAAGGATTGGGATATCTGAGCAGTAACCCACTTATCACTATCCACCCGCTCGATGCAATGGGCAGCGCGATCCTGATTGTCCTGTGCGACGACCGATGCAGTATGGAATTATTTTTTGGTTGTATGCATTGGAGTGTGATGGACGAGTACTGCCAGGATGTCCAGCCTCTAAGCAGGAGAACGATTAGGGTTCTGAACCAAAGCCTTTAGTTCTGACAAGAACCTAACCGCAAGGCAGCGGCTAAGGCGGATTAGAGGCCCATTTACTTGGATCAATTACTCCACTTAAACATTTTACCGACTTAGACGCCGACTCAAGTCGAAACCCCAACCTGGAGGACCAGGAGACTGGACTTCGTCTGACCTCTACCCATTGACCTTCCAGGCATGATTAAGTTTTTGGCTCGATAAAAGCCATCCTGTGTAGCTCGTTAGGTCATAGAGGTGCACAAACCATCACACCACGTCAAGGTCCAGTCTCGTCGTGATGGTCGTGATGTCTTCTATGACAGTCAGTCAGATCACTTTAGTCCGACAGCAGGGAAGGGGGAACAGTTGGCTCTGTTAACTCTACTAGGTCTCCCATAAAAGCAGATCTTTCATTCGGGCTTGGACAAAATTGTCACAATCAAACCTGCTAGTTTAGGTTTTAATTCATGTTTAACTCCTAGTTATTTGAAGGGAACATGTGAATAAGCTTGAATTGATCATTCTGATCATCTGGTTGGTACCGGCTTCCCACAAGCGTTCTACGGAGTGTTAACTCCAGACAAGTTGTTAGAGTTATTCTAATGCGCTGCTCGAGTCTTTAGAGTTCCCCCTAAATTTATGGTTGACTGGATGAGGTGGGGATTGAGCAGAAAGATAAGGTCTGAATGATAGGCGGCCCAAAATCAATACCAAGCATATCTTACCATTGCTTGCAAATATCTGTGAATTAAGTTTGAGTTATTCCACAAATTTAGTGCAGTTCAAAATGAAAAGAAATAGCGACAGACATATTGCTGGCAGAGAAGCAACATTATCGCAAAGTTATCGGCACATGAATGTTACCGGCAAAACACGATCAACTGATCACTTACCTCTATACAAACGTGATGAAGCCCGCCGTTCTTATTTTTTTCTAGAAACTTCGCCACGGGACTACCCTGACCGAGAGGAGACAGGAGCTAGTAGAAATATTGTCACAAAGAGGATTACACTTCAAACTCACCTCGATTTTTGTGTTTCCAAAGTGTACAAATGCTACGGTAACACCGTGGTCTGGAGCTTGCTGGAGGGGAGCAAGGTAATAGATTTTTCTTTCACGATGTTATTCAGGCATGGGAGTTAAACACATGCAGAGATGATCAAATAAATGTGATGGAATAGCGTAAGAAAGTAAGTGGAAATGAAGGGTGTGTGGTTCCTGGTAAAACTGGCACATTGGTGGGTTCTGGTACCGAGAATGTTGAAATTTCCGCAACTGTACTCTTCGGTTCTTCCTTCACAAAACTATGGTGAGACATTGATAAAAATACGAACTCTATATACGCATTCAGAGGTTCAGAAACTACCAACATCGATTTGCAAATATATCCATGATCAAGGGGTGGGGGTAGGTCACCAGGACAATACTAATGTGGCCAGCCATTCACGGATTTGTAAACATGAATGATCAGAGTCTCGGCATAGTTCGGTGACTGTTTGATGTGTTTTAACTTACCTGAAATAAATGGGAAAGAGTGACACAGTGTTTCTGATTAAATAAGATCTGTGTTTTCTGTTCAGTCAGTGACGTAACAGTTGTGGTGTCATCCATTGTCTTCATCTTACGGTTATTATTTCAGTAAAGTGTACATACGCAGCGAAATGCTCACAGACACATTGTTCGAACCCACGCTTGTGGCTTCCCCATTCAAGTTGGTTTAGAAAAAGTGTTTTCAGTTAGAAAATAATCTGAATACAGCGAAATCCAAACAAAAGGTTCATTATGACCAGGAACCAGCGGCTAAAGCAGTCTGATCACTGACACGATATTTCGCAAAAACCCTGTGAGTTTTAAATAGTTAAATCTCACTGATTTAGTTCCATGCGTTATCTTTTTTGTTATTACACACATAAGTGTGGTGAACAGCAGACAGGGCGAAACCCATAGTCACTAGGATCTGCTGTTCAATGGTGAAAACTGGCAACCCTGGGACTTAGGGTGGCGAACCACATAAGGCCCCGATAGATTAGGCGTTATCTGCCAAAGTAGTGCTTGCATTAATAAAAAAAATCAGTCAGAAAACAAACAATACGAATACAAAAAATAATCGATGTCAATAGCTTAGGCAGTTACAGACTATCGACATTAAAACAGAAAGAAGACAAATGTCGCGAGATGTTAACATTTCGTTTAATCTTCTCAGTCGCTGAATTAAAACAAACAGGCACATATATAGCACATGGGATTAGTCAATTTTGGTGAACAAACGTGTACAAGCATACAACGATTACTAAATTTAGAAGTAGAAGGTCAGCTCCGCGGTAAGTGGATTGCTTGTATGAAAAACTTCTGTGCGCACAGGGTCGGGTGATGTAATGGAATAAGTACTGCTTCACTAATCGCCAAAAGTTTAGCATTTCGATTACGCGATAGTGGTTTGAAAGACGAATGGGGGTCAACTGTGTGTCTTGTTGCCATGAGATGTTTTGCAACAGATGATCCTGGATTTCTTGCAATCACTTGGCCGTCATTTGTCGGTTGCGTCATCGATTTCACCAACCACTTTGGAATATGTTCGGCCATCCGTTGTGACAGCTGACGGTTTGTTCTGCCTATGTATGCGTCACCGCAACTGCAGGTGAACTGGTATACAGTGTGTGAGACGGAACTAGTTTGCCAGCTATGTTTACGTTTGTCCAAATCGATTCCACGAGTGGAGGCGATTAGTCTGAGTTGAGCAGCTGAGAATATACGGTCTAGAGCTGACCTCAGCTTCTTGGGGACATCACTGTAAATGTGATTACCTTTGAACGCAAGCTTGATGTAGATGGCCTTTTAATCAACGTTTTGGGATGGGTTACCCTTTGGAATTGGTCTACTGTGAACATCTATAAACTTTTCTGGGTAACCATTGTTTAGCAATGTTCTCCTCAGGAAATCTTATTCTTCCTTCAGTGTATCTGGAGAGAAACATTTGTTATTTGCTTGTACACGTTTGTTCACCAAAATTGATTAATCCCATGTGCTATATATGTGCCTGTTTGTTTTAATTCAGCGACTGAGAAGATTAAACGAAATGTTAACATCTCGCGACATTTGTCTTCTTTCTGTTTTGATGAAATGGATAAAGGGAATTCAATGTTTCACACTATCTGCAGGCAAATTAGCGACCCGTTAAGTGAAAGCTGACTAACTCGCCCGCTGTACGCATTCAAGCTGTTCAAGGTTTTGGGTCTGATGTTCAAATTGTGGTTTTTGTTCTTTCCGCGGGAAATCGGTTAAGCGATAGGAGTCGAGGGGACTATTCGGTTCCGCTGAGGCGAAGTTTCATCTATTTTCTATTTTAATAAGTAAAATTCGCCCATCCATGCGAAAAATCGATTAATTCCTGAATCAGGTGCAGCAGAAACAGTGCAAAAATATTGGAGTCATTCTAATTCAGGAAAGTTGGTCAATCCAGACACTGCGGAGAATATCACTGAAATCGACGGTTTCGATATTTTGGGAACAACAAGGTTGTTAAATTTTGTCACACAGGTGTTGCTGTGGTCAACTTCATCATCAATCCAGGTTGTTGCACCAAAATTCAGTTATTATTTAATTTCCTGAACAGTAAAACCAGTGGTATTTTCGTTCACTGCAAGCGCGGTTTTTCAGCAGCTTTCGTTTTATTTATTCTGTGAATATACTTTACCCCTGTTACACCATCTCCTTGATATAACACTGTTTGCTGATACCATATCCAAACACTGCCGTTTGTGTTGACCTGTATTTACGGAATACCGCTGGTGTCTTTAATAGATTTGGCACCTTCTTCCCTATCTATCCTAGGTTTGCTGAATCTTCTTAATTCACTCTGCTGAATTAATGATCTCGATGGCATAAACGTGATTAGTTCCAATTTGTTCCATGTTCTGGTTAGTACAGTTTTGTTTCACCCTTAGATATATTGTAAAACAAACCATTATCTTCATTATCAACCAGTTTGCAGTAAGTATAGGAAGATAAATTGTTAACCTGAAAACTTGACCGGGCTAAGGGACTGTTTCTTCGACCAACTTTTCTGTTTTCCAATAGTCAATACTCTTTATCCTACGAACAAATTATTGATTATCTACCACGAGCAATGTTGACATGTTGAACTGTTCTATATTCGAACTGACAGGTTTTTCTCCCCCCCCCCC